AAAAAGGCGAAGGGGTCCCTAACTTATCACAGTATATTATAGTGATGAAGGATGTCGGGGAGTGCAGTCGGTTGGCTTTCGAGACAGCGACTCAGGGTCCCATGGGCAGTCTGGGCAGGTGTTTAGGGTTTAGGGTTTAGGGCTCAAGGTTCCGGGGTTTAGGGTAGAGGGGGTTCTGAAGCTGTCATTGCGGCAGAGCTCTCTTGATAAGCATACTTAGGAAACCTGAAGCCCCGGCTTGGGATATGGGCGCCATCGCAATTGGAATAGGGTCTTTGGCTAGTTTGTAAGTATTTCAGGGAATAATGATAGAGCAACTCTTCCGAAGCCTTCCCTAAACCCCTAAACCCTAAACCCCAAATCCTAAACCCTAAAACCCTAAAACCCCTAAACCCCTAAACCCCCCAAAACCCCCAAACCCCAAAAGCCGGAGCCTAGCTGCGAAGTTCCAGTTGGCCCCGGCCCAGCTACCTTCGTGCCAGAACTCCGAAGGCCGTGAGGAGCCCTTGAAGCGAGAGGTAGGATTTAGGGGTTTAGTAGGGTTTTGGGATTTAGGGTTTAGGATTTAGGGGTTTAGGATTTAGGGTCTGGGATTTATAGGGTTTAGGATTTAGGGTTTGGGGATTTTACACGGTTCGGGGCTTTTAGGGGTTTGGGATTTTGGGTTCCGGGTCAGCTTGTGGAGTGCTGTTGGCCCCACTGAACTTTCCGTTGTCGCGCACAATTGAAACTCTTGGATTCGTATATTTTCGTGTCGAAATATGTATGTGGACTTGTGCAGCTGCATGCCACTAGATGTACGTATGCAAAGATGGCAGAACATTTACACAGACAGTGACATCACGTCTCCTCTACACACACACATTCACATTGTGAGTCATCTCATTTCCATTCGGCTCCAGCTCTGCATGCAAGTGCACTTTACTCAGGCAAATCCTCAAGACACCTCGCATCTGCACATCCTGACATCCGAAACCTCTGCAAAACCCTTGGCGTCAGAGCTAAAGCGCTTGTGTTCTTTATCCTGCCTGTCGTGGGTAGGTCCACCCTGCTTCGGAGAGATCCATCATGTCTACGCCGGATATCCTCGGGTTGGGGGAGGGGTAGTTTAGGGTCACTGGTTCTCTATGCTTTGCGGCTTGTGGTTGGAGACTAAGCAGTCGAAACATACTTGCTTCCCAATGCCGTAGAAGGACTGCACCACCAAATAGAAGAGGAAGAGCGGCACAAGCTGGCAGACAAGCCCTCCCAACTTCTTCACCACAGCATTCGGGAAAAGCTTCACAAGCCTAGGCGGCACCTTTCGCATGAAGGCCAGCGCCCCAAACATGCAGGCGACCCTGGCCAAGGGCTGGACTTGCAGAAACTGCTCGAAGTCCTGGGGCCAAAGGTAGCGGAACTTGACGCCCGAAGAGATCTGCAAGGAGGACTTGAAGATGAAGAAGCCGATGGAGCCCAGAAACCCGCTTGTAACAGGCGCTGGGAACAGAAGCCTGGCCCACGACCCGATTCTAAACCCTAAAGCTGAATCCCTAAACCACTAAAACTAAACTCCCTAAACCTCAAGCCCTAGTCTTCTTGTCAAAGAAGCATGAGCTTGCCAAGGCCAAGGTGACCAAAGACGATCGAGGCGACTCCCGTGAGGATGGTGCTCACCGCGATGATTGCCAGCTGCGTAGGCACAATCCTCCACTTTTACAGAGGGGCTATAATATATAAATATATATATATATAATATATATATATATATAATATATATATATATATATAATTAGGGGCATAGTCTGGGATGTGACGAATGCTTTCTTTTAATCTTGCGACGGCCGCTCCTAGGCTCCTGTGGCTCGGAGGCTGCGAGCATCAAAGAATCAGGAAGAGATAAAGTCTCTTCCTGGCCCGGAACACTAAACCCCAAACCGTTCCATCCCAGCCCACGTGTACATGCGACGGAACTCTGATCTTCTTGCACACTCCACGCCTCAAATCCAAGCCCGCTGAACTGCTAAACCCGCCCGTGGCCGCGGCAGGGCTAAAAAAAGAGAGCCTGGGAGGTTGGGCGGGGGGCAACCCCACTCTTTGCAACCACAATGTCTGTATCAGGGGTTCTGACAGGATCCATATGCGTGCTGTTCCTGCCGGCAGGCTCTCATGTTGAAGCGAATCTGCACGGCTTAAACAAGCCGGGCGGGGGGCTGACAAAGCAGCGCAAAACACTGACAGGGAGCTGGTGATGTGTGAAGGATTGTCGATGGTGTCTTGATGCATGCCTGGGAAGGTCTTCTCATGTGCGACCCAACATGGTTCGTGCGAAAACTTAGAAACGAGAGAAGGCAAACATGACTTTTCATTCCGCGCACACACACATGCACATAACAAACACTCCAGATAGATGTTGTTGTTGTTGCTGTCGTTGTTGTTGAGCATATATCTTAAACACGCCAAATCATTTGTCGATTCAGTTCATCATGCATCTTAAACGTACCCCTCATATATCACTTCGCGATTCCCATCATACTTCTTAAAGACGCCCTTTCATGTGGCGATTCCGGCGCATCATAATATATCTTAAACACGCACCCTGCCGCACCCAAGGAGCAAAAGGACCCAGGGCACCAGAGGACCAGAGGACCAGGGGACCAGGGGAGCAGAGGACCACGGACCAGACCCTATGAGCCCTGAATCCCTCATCCATAAAGATTATAAGCCCTCAGGCCCATAATCCCTTTACCCTAGAACCACTTCTTCAGATGCGTGTCCTCTCCGGTTCACCCGCCAGAGCAACTGCCACCTGGCATTTCAGAGCTGGGATCTTAGGAAGGTTTCGGGCTCGAAGGAGAATTTCGAGATTCGTAGTACTTCATTCTAATCCAGGCAGCGTTCAGCTTAGGACAATTCGGACGTCGGGTGGTTCAGGGTTAAAGGGTAGTTGTGATTTGGGTTTTGCCGGGATCAGGTCCGCTAAGAACTGGATATAAGTGCTGAGAAACCCCTTATGGCCACTGTCATCATGACAATCACTCTGCGTTCACCACCGTGACTCCGATCATCATTCTCCGTGGATAACGAACAGACTTCCATCCTGCTCTAGGGGTCCAACTGCCTGGCCAAATTCTTGAAGGTCCCAAAACTATCAGGATCCTGGGGTATTCTAGGCGCTTCTAGAGCTATAATAAGGTTTCTGTGGTACTTCATAGCCTATTTCTCAAGGGAGCTAAGGGGACACTCTGACCCCCTGCAGTAGGCTCAGCCCATACTTCTCCTTGGGAGCCCCACCTGACCCCCCATCGTCCCCCAGAGGATGCCAATGACATCATTGATGCCAATGAGGCCGGCCTGTTGACGGGTCAGGGTTTAGATTTGAGACTCTCTTGAGGGTTAAAGGGGGGGGGTTAGAGCTTCAGGTCTTGAGGCTTTGGGGACGCCTGACAGACGTATGGGTATTCTAGATGCTGGGGTTTAAGTTTTGGGTTTAGGGTAGCCGCATGACGCCTACCTTTCCAAGAGCTTCCTGCCTGCATCCGCCCGAAAGCGCCATACCACGCAGCCGAGATCGCAGAAGAGAGCCTGGGCCAAAAATCTTACCCTCGGCTCAGTGATTGGAGTAGGGCTTTTGAGGGTTTAGGAACTCTAGGGTTTAGGGACTTTTAGGGTTTAGGGCCTTTTAGGGTTTAGGGCCTTTTAGGGTTTAGGGCCTTTGGGGTTTAGGGGGTGTAGGGTTTAGGGCCTTTAGGGTTTAGGGTTTAGGTGCATACAGGCATGTAGGGACTCTAGCAGGACAGGCCAGGAGGGACCGCGCGAGTTGGGGCTCCTGGCGGCTTCGGGCTTCACGCTTGAGGGCTTAGGGTTTAGGGTTTAGGGTTCAGTGTTTAGGGTTTAGGGTTTTGGGTTCAGTGTTTAGGGTTTAGGGTTCAGTGTTTAGGGTTTAGGGTTCAGGGTTTAGGTTCAGAGTTTACGGTCAGCATGTCATATCTGGATGTCAAACAAACAAGAATCATGCCTGAATGATTGCTATAATACACCGTAATGCACCCTACAACTCTGTTCTAAGTTTAGCAGTTTAGCACCTCTATATTGCTGACCTCGCTTCTGGAGTCAGGCATGAATTTGAGATACACTGCTTCATTGACTCAGGTTTGGGCCCTAAACCTTGAACCTTAAGTCAACCCTAGACCCTCACCCCCCAAACCGCCAAATGCAGCACGAGACCCTTGTCACAACCCTGAACCCTATACCTGGCCCCGGCCCCGAACCTCCAAAACAGAACTACTTCTACAGTAGGGGCCTTCATGACTAGAATGGGGTCTTGGCGTACATTATGCATTCACGATCGGGACTCTAGGGGGATACTGTTTTATATTTTTTGCGGTCCCGCGACTCTTATTGGGAGACTCTGAAACCCGGTAAGACTCGATGGCAAGGATCAAGGCCCTGAGGGCTTGAAGGTTTTGGATTTCCTGGCCGCAACAGGAATTCAGAGCTTCGAGGGTTTAATACTCTGTGGTTCGGGCTTGGGGCTTAGGGGCCTCCCTTAAAGTCCAGCTGCCCTTCATGTCACACTGTTGAACCCTCAACCCGCAAACCCCTCAGCGCTAAACCCTAAGCCCTA